ATCAGCGACCCGGAGTTCCTAGGTTTCTCACAGTTCATCGCCTTGGGCCTTTTTATTGTCCTGGAGGCGTTAAGAGTATACCACACCCACCTGAAGATCGTCAAGAAACTATCGGGGTACCTCGTGCAGTACTTGGATGGTAAGGACCCGAGCGACGGAGGCATCATCTTTACTCATATATCCCTTCTATTGGGCTTGTCCATTCCTGTATGGTTCGAGCTTGGATACTCTAGTGAGTTTTCAGTACTACGAGCATCGGCAGGCATCCTCTCGGTGGGGGTGGGAGATGCGATGGCGGCCTGTGTTGGAGTCACCGTGAGAGGACCTAAGATTCCGGGGGCGGAGCGACGCACTATTGCGGGCTTGATTGGATTTGTAGTCTCTGCGATGGGTTATGGTTTAGCTGTCATGACCGGGGGCGATTGGGCTGTGATGTGGCGAAGGAGTGGTATGGCAATTTGCGCCACAGCGTTTTTGGAGTGCTATATCACGAGTATTGATAACCTCGTCCTTCCTGTTTATATGCTGGCGTTATTGGCCTTCTAACTCGGCTAGTTGTGTATCAATTTCTGTACCAAAATTGGTCGCGTTTGTCACATCCGGGAGAGCGACAAGCTTTGAATTTTCATGAGTACGGCCCTACTAGGAAGGGAATCAGCAGAGACTGCAGAGGACGAACGTTTATGGCGATCGACATACCGTACCTACTTTCGGAACACCGCGACGGTGGTATCGGCTGGGGCCCTGAGGATGCTAGTGGACTCGGTCGTATTGACTTTGCTGGGGGAAGACCCTCGAGCGATGGACTTCGCTTTCGCATCTCGGTGCCAACGGAACAGTTTCAGTGTGTGTCTACTAGCAGGTAATCGCTCTATGATGGCTTGGCTAATTTGATATGCACATACGCGTTTTCCGAGATTAGTGAGAGTGAATCACTTGTGGATGTTATAGTCTTAAAAGGTTACTTTTATCACCACACATGTTCGTCGAAATGTTCATATTGTTTATGCGATATAGTTTCAGATCGATTCGAATTCATCATGGATAGTATGTGTGTGAAATGTGATATGTAACTATGCAGATGATGAGGGAATAAGACGTTTATAATATGATGATTACACTGGAATTACATCCGTTTTACGTGAAGTGGCGTAATACTCGGTGAAAATGCCGATATTCGCGGTGGTATGCAGTAGTCGTGGAATATATTTTTCGCTAGTGTTTTTCATATCACGGCTCGTGAAACTCCACTGTATTTATGAGTTTGTCTATATATTATCAAATAGAGTATACCTACTACGGTGCGTGTCAATTTGGTGTGCAAATGTGTGCTATTTCCCGAGATTAATGAGAATAAATCTGAAACTATATCGCATATACAATGTAATATGAACATGTGTTGTGATGAAAGCCCCCGTTCGCGACAACTTGTTCACTGTAATTCGTCCTCTAAAATGACACACATTTGCATATCAACTGTATATTTGGAATAGCTCGCAAATTGACAAGTACTATAGGTATGTGCGAGTTCCTGGTGTGCTTGCTCCTCACGGGCGTCTTCGTGTGGCACCTCCAAGAAAAGCTGGGAGATCCCTACTGTAACCGATGGTGCGCTCGAACGTTCTCTTGGTCGGTCCTTACCGGAGCTGCCGAATGGGTTCCTATCACAATACTGTCCGCGAAAGTAGCAGTAGTGGTGAGTTACGCTGGCAAGGCCTGGTCCTGGCTAGAGTGGATTATGGTCGCCTTCCTCGCGCTTGGGTCGACCTTGGTGTGCACGTTGAGTGTTAATGCGGCCCTGCGTAGAAGCGGTGGTAGTATATTCATACCGCACCATATGAGACACTACCTCCTACTACTATTCATGTACTGTATGGGGACTAGCGTGGGGACTGCGTGGTGGCTGATCATGTGAGGGGGAGGGGAGGGGGGGAATCCGAGATCGGGTTGACGACTGTGAAAACTTCTCCTCCTTTCCCTTTCCCTGCCTCCTCTCTTTTCTCGTATTGTTGATTGGGTGAGTTTTAGATCAGTAGGTAGAGCGTGTGACTCTCAATCTCAAGGTCGGAGGTTCGATCCCACCTCCTGTCTTTGTGTTCGGCTGACCGGCATATCGTTTCTCCACAGATATGTGACCTTCCTCAAGCCCCACCCTTCCTCACTAGCACTGTCCATCTTCTGGGCCATCGTCGTATCAGCATGCGCAATGCTTTTCTACAAGCGTTTTGGTCCCGAGCCGATCATGCCCCATGGCAATCACACCTCCACGTCACTGCGTCGCTCCGCCCTCAGTTTCTTGGTATATGCGAGCGTAGTCTGCATGGTGAATGCAAATCATTCGGCGATCAAGGCGATAGTGCAGAGTATGCATTTCTTCAAGTTCCCGACGGGAGTGGACGTGGAGGGCCTGGCACTGCTGGCCTACACTGCGTGGTTCGTCACGATGTTCGCCGCTTTTTTTGGATATTGGATTACGCGGGCAACACGAATAGGGTTTGGAGTATCGACTCGTTTCTCACGAATGGCTGCTGGTGAGGACACCATAGAGAGCCCTTGGGGGGCCTTGGCAGAACAGAGCGCATTGACGGTAATAGTAGCATACTGCTTGGCTTGAGGCCCTTCTTAGAGCTGTTGAAGCTCTTCAGGTCATGGCATTCGACTTCCTTTCCCTCCTCTCAGCCTTCCAATGGGGTAGCGTCTTCATGGGCTCTTTCGTACTGCTCGTCGGCTCCTGGGCTATGCGCTTCCCACTGACGTAATTCGGGATTTTCCAGATAGGTGGTAAATGAAGCCCATCGTATAGTTACGTTATAGGGTGCACCATCTACGCCACAGCGGTGTTAGGAGGAGTGTGTTGGTTCTGTCGTGCTTACATCCCTAGCGATGCTGAGAAGGCTATGTGAGCCCGCGGTCTTCCCCATGCGTGGCCGAGCACAAGGCAGGTACGATCAGTCTGGGCTGCCGTTCCACGATGAGGAGATGACCATGCGTCGAGCCGACGATGTTCCTCCAAGTGGTATGGAATAGGGGTTTACGCCAAATTGAACCACGTACTTTTGTGACCATCGTTTCCTCTGTCTGCGTCTTTCGGGTTGAGGGGCTGCTAAGGTTGGCCCCAGGACATTTGAGTAATGCAAACTTCCAAATTTTCCCTGTCGGCACCGCCAGCGGCGCGGCTTCCAGCTAAGAAATCGACGATCCTGAGGTCTCTGGATTCGCTCAAGGTAGTAAAGCTT